TAGAAGTGTTAATATTACACGTGTATTATACAGATACATACTAGTCAAGGCAAGCTGAAGATACAAGGCTTCCACCAGGAGAAGGTGGTGATGAAGACCACAATGGTTCCTGGATCCTATGGCTTTCTAAGACCACTAATGAAAGGCTATGAGAAATGATATGATTTGGGTTTTTTTTTTTCAAAACCAAAAGAAAGCTCAACTTCATCAGTGAAGAAGACAATGGGATCAAAGCCATTTGGAGTAAGAAAATATCTGTTATCTCCATTTATGTTTGCTTAAAGAAAGAGGACAGGATGCTGGCAGAAAGATACTTAGATTTCATATTGGACAAATTAATTTCTAACAAATGAACATACAAAAAGAAATTACATTGTCAGAAGAATGTCAAAACTCTACAGATAATGCTGATCTATAAGTTGAGCACTAAGAAAAGGAAAAAATGGTGACAAAATAACCATATTTTAAAAACACTATTTTAAAATTTCCAACTTGCTCTAGTAGTATGTAGTTTTCTATGTGGAGTTAGCATACATTTCCTATGTTTCAAGGTCATATGGTTTTAAAAAATGCCCTTTCATAGAATTTTTCAGTTGCTTATTTGCTCTGGAGTATGCATGCTTAATCTCTTTTTATTACTCCTTTCCCAGCTACTCCTTTTTCTCATTTATCCCCCACTAACTTAGTTGTCTTAGGCAACTGCAAAATGTACCTTCCATATGCAATGAAATTCTACGGAAATGAGGAATGTTGTATGTATTCTTTATCATCTACACAAAGAGAATCTTTTATCCACTGGCCACGAAAATACTCATGCGTCTAACTCTCAGGCCTTGGCTTTACTAATACATCCTGTTTTTGCAAGAAGGGAAATGCAACTGCACTGTAGGAGCTCTAATGACAGGTGAACAATGGAGACTTCCTTCCAAAGTCTAATTCTCCCCGCTTTTACACCAAGGTAAATCTAGAGTAATTTCTATGAAATTATATTAACACACTTTGAGTAGATATCTATATAGTTAAGGAGTAAATTCAAATCTTACAGATTTTTTTCATATTTAAGACTTTTTTGACATGTCGTCAAGTTCTGCATATGCTGTTGCCTTGTCCTGCAGTGGACAGTAATATAATGTTCATGTGCTATGTTAACATTTCCATACCCATTACAAACATCTGCTTTCTTCAAAAAGAAAAGAGATATCTAAGGTAAACATTGCAATTTAAAATATCTTTCAAACTCTCAAGAAAAAGAATGAAAAAGTAGAAGACAAAACTTAAATAGGAAAAACATCCTCTGTTTTACAGGTCACAGAAAAGGAATTCTATCCAGATGCACCATATGCTTTATCTGCAAAGGCACATTTTCCTTGAAGAGCAAAGTATGCTTTCTACAGGAGGAGCACTTGTAAAGGCGATAGAAATGTCACAAATTACACACTTTCTCAATAATGAAGAACAGCTTCCAAGAATTCCAGTCTCCTCATCCTTCCAGAGTTAATCAAAATCCTCAAACTGAAAAGATACTCTCTGGAGAAAACAATGTAATATTTTCCTGGGATTTTCATTTTGAAATTCAGGAAGATGTTGAACTGCATTATTAAGGCTACCAACATCATTAGATTATTTTGCCATTAAGAATGCTTTGGCCCTTCATGAATCTGACCAGCACATAGAATTAGTCATATTTGCCATGAGGAGAACATACCAGTGTGAAATACATAGGTTATTAAGGCTATCAAAAGAAGCAAAATAGGCCATCTGTGCTCTCATGGTACCATATGTGGTACCAAGTCTTGTGCACTATTACAAGCAGACACAGTCCGTAATTTAGAACATGTCAAAAATTCAACTGTTATCAACTGCTCATCGAATTCATCGTCATTAAGAACTTAAATACTTCAACAGCACTTGCTAGCCCTACTTTCATAAAGTACTTCTGGCTTTATTTACATAACTTTTAGTATGTTCCTATGGGTCTTTAGATATTTTCTCTTGCCCCAAATATTGCAGAAATCAGTATTCTTACTGATATACAAGTGGTCTATTTACATTGCAATTTTCTTGTCATCAAAATTTTTATCTGAAATGTTGAAGCTTGTAGGAGACCACATAATAAGGCATATTTAACCCATGATAAGATAATCTAAGGACTTTTTATTTACTGGAGTCACTCAACAGCTAGATATATTTATTGCTTGAAGAACCTGTATTGATTTAATCCAACTCAAGCTATGCTTTCTGTTAGAATGTAATTTTTTTCTGCTTTCCTCCCCAGTCAAGACAACCATCCAAAAGATACATGACTATTTGCATGGGATTAAACTGTTGGCACTGGAATAGCAACCAGTGTTCAAAGGAGGCTCTTCTTTCATGCAAATAATTTCTGAGCAAAGGATGTGCAACTAGTTGGCAAAGCAATTTATGCCTGCAGCAAAGAATTGACATGGTGCTTACTGTGTCATCTACATGCACATCAATTTTGCTCTGTGTTACCGTATTTTGCAGAAAATACTCTCTCAGCAAACTGAAAGTTCGCTTTCAGTAACCATGGTGTATACCTAAAACATAATTTACTCATATAACCTATCTTAAAGAAAAAGGTCTAAGAAGCCAAGTATAATCACCACAACAATTAAGTTTTCAGAGGTATATACTAAAGGACTTACTGTGATGATTAGCCCTTTTTCCTGGAAATATTTAACCAATGGGACGGCATTCTGCTTGAAATTCATTAGTCGTCTTTGAGTAGCTTTCAGGTTATCATCAGGTCTCCCTTGCTGTTCAGCACGCTTCAATAACCTTTCTTTCAGCCTTTGACTGGAACATGCCAGAAACACCACCAAATCTGGGGTACAGATCTGTGGAAAGAGCAATTCAAGAAGTCTGTGATTGACTATCCAGCACTACGGGATTCAGCAATTCCATTATTAGGTGAGGTTCACATATACTACATTTGCATTAGCTGGAACTTGATGAACTAATTCATTTTCTGGTTTGTTTTTTTTTTTTCAATGAAAATTCATAGACTTAAGGAGGAGCTTGTTTGTCTTGTGTGAAGGTTAGTCAGTTTGGTTCACCTAAAATATTAAGGCAAAAGTTTAATAAAAAAATGTTACCTCACCCCAAAAACCTTCTCTGGACTATGTTGATCATTTGCACTACCAGAAGGTTCCCCTAGCTAAAATTAAAATCTTTAAAAATAGCAAAATATAGATGTCTCATATTCTTCAGGAAAATACTTGTATGGTTTCCATCTAAAAAGCCTTTAAGTAAGGCGGTATTTAAAATCCAGCAGCCACTATGAAGCTAACTGACGCCTAAGAGCAGGTGAAAACAGACCTGTTCCAAGATCCACAGTTTCTTATAACACTTTCTCTGTTTCTCTAAATCTCACCCAAGCTTCAATGCACCTGTCAAGAGGTTGGGTGTGGCAGCTAAGAGGATTTTAATTTCTCCTATCCCTTTTAGTCTGTGTGGTAAGCACTGTTTTATCTTGCATCCACCCCCACACTAAAGTTCAGGAAGTACAACCTTATGGCAATGGTGTGCAGGGTCTCATCTGCTTAGTTCCCACTAACTGCACTAGTTTCAGAGGTCAGTTCCTTTTTAAGAAAATGGGAAAGCAAGCCCTGGGCCTATTTTTTCTATATAGTCAGAAAATGAGGATAATATTGAGGTAAAACACAGTAAGCTGAGTACTGGTGGTGTTCTTAATTTTTTGGCTAGTAACAGCAAGAATACAAAAGATAGTATCAGAATCCCAGGAACTAAAACTATTTTTTCCAACACTCTCATGTTTGTAATTAGAAATATATTTCACTCATATAAACAAAATGTCAGTGAAAACAATGGTTTAAAATTCTCCGTTCAAGAAGCCTGGTTGCAAATTAAGTACTGCTTAAAAGGTTTTTTGAAGTGGAAAAAAGAAGTAATTCAAGCTTATTTGAGGTAGGAATACAAAGCAGATTCTGATTGTGTGACACCTCTATGAATTCATCTTTTACCTGCAGAATATGCATTTTCATCATCAGAACGTAGCTGAAAACCATTTAGTAAACACAAGTCTCTGCTTGGTTTTAGATGTACAAAAGGGTAACATCTCTTCTATATCCATAGGTATATAGACCTAACAGCACTTAATACATTTCTCCTACATGCATTTACAACCGTCAGGGTAAACCCTGGAAATGCTATTGATATTTCACTCCTGTTTTCATGAACCACTCTGCTTCCACTTTTCTCAACTGCACCTGCCTGCAAGACATGCTTATAAATACTTTAAGTTGGAATGTAACAGGCTAGTGTGAACATATGGACATCTGGGATTACTTCTCTGGGAACATATCTAGCTCTCCTACATAAATATGAGTACAAATCGCTTTTTTTCTAAGAAAGGAAAATGGGGGTTTATGACTCATTTGAAAACAAACTTATTTTTTAAATTCAGAACTAACTGTTGTTGAGTTTTATGACTAGGGAGTAAGTTTTATTCTGAGACTCAGCTTGTAGAAAAGGTGGGTTCCTTTATGCTGATTTCCCACAACACGCTCATCTTGTGCTGAAGGCAGAGGGTCTTATTCATGTCTAGAAGTGCACGTGAGGAAGGACTTTGGGGCTTAAGGAAGTGAATTTGACTACTTACTAACTAGAACTCAGCAGAAGGAAGAATCTTTGCCTGTGGGAACAGACAGGTTTCTGGTTATTCAAAACCTGAATTTTAAATGAGACAAAAAGCGTATGGCATCAACTCAGAATAAAACTGGTGAGTACATCCTCTCATTTTTAGAATAGTATTTACTAGAAGTAAATCCTATTCTGAGTTTGAATCCCCTTCCTAAACTGGAACAAGATGTAAATTGAGAGTAATTCCATGCAAGTTCGTGGTGCTACTGACGTAAAGCAGTGTAAGTGGAAAGATGCTCTCTTCTCTCTGGGGATATTTCCTACATCTCCTCTTGTTAGTGAGAGCAGTGTGGTTGTTTGCTAGAAATTAGATGATTACACTCTCTCTCATTATTCCTCATTAGGCAAAAGATGAAAATGCTCTGTTTCTTAATTCCTGGTATGTTCTACTAGATACTCCGGAGAAAACTTAACTGACAGCTCATGAACAATTGTCATTAATTTAACAGTGCATTTTATTTTGATTGGTAAAGGTTAATAGTAAGCTAGTTTGTCCATTGTATGGGTGCTCTACCTTGCAATTACTGATTTGCTTCTTATAGTTCCATCTCTGCTGGGTTACTAGACTGTTTGCATAGTTTTTTCTTGTTTTAGAAAAGCAAAATCATGAACCATGTTGTCAAAGAATGAATACTACTGACACAATTTTTTCTGCTGACTGCTTTTGAACCGTATTCATACTGCCCAAGAAATAAGCTTCCAGCACACTGCCCAGACTACATAATTAGGCCCCTAATAACTGACTGAGAGAGGCAGATGTCTTTAGGGACAACTGATTCAGATTTTCATCAGAGTAGGGCAGCAAGTCGATAGGAATCCCTAGCTGTAAACACTAATGCCAATGCTACAAAAAAAGGTCTAAGCAGACCTCTGGTTCAGAATTGATCAGTAGGCACCTCCATCCACTCTGAATTCAGAACACTGGGTCCTCTTCTGAGGGTTAAGGACTAAGTGGATGAGCTCTCCTTTGGCTAGTGTGGCTATCAGCACTTGTCCAGAAAAATGAAAAAACGAGAAACCTGAGGTCTAGGGTCTCTTACCCAGGAGAAATTTGAACCACTGCTTGCCTTTCCCAGGAGAGTGGTCTAGCTTCCAGGGAAGAAGATTGACAATGATAAGACCACTCCATGGGCTTCCTGCTCAGGCTTGGCTTTAAGAAAGCAATGTAAAAGTCACAGGGACAAAGAGAATGAATGAGAGGAACCACAGCAATGTAGACTGTTGATGTGCTAGCCCTCCCACTCCTCATACAGATGAGCGGGTACATATATCCAGTAGGGGATTGTACGTGAGACTTATCAGCGTGGAACAATGAAGTGGAGATTTGGGAGAAGGGAGGTGGAAGTTGAGGAGGCAATGAAATGAAGATGACACATAGAACATGATGCAAAATGAAAAATACCTTTACCAGAACAAAAACCTTTGCAAATAACAGATCCTTTCCCCTTAAGATTCACAGAATGGTTGCACTCATTTTAGTAGTTGTTCTGCCCACACTCTTGGCCAGTGACAGAGCAGGTTTTCTACAAGAAGCTCTTTGCAGAGCATGAGCTTGGCAGTCAGACAGCCATAGGTCAGTTGGCCACAAACACCTATGTCAAACCTTGAAGGGACTGCAGGCATCACTTCTGCTTGGAGGTTTAAGTATTAGATTTGGAGGAATAGGACTGCTGTCCTTAGCCTGTGAGGCTGTGAGAGGACAAGTCAGTTTTTCCTAGCATCCTATATTATGCCATCTACACAGTTCATTCTACTTAGCAATATTAATTCTCATAATAATTTTCATAAGGAATATAATTGGGAGTTAAAAGTTAACTCAAATCACAGCCAAGATGAACTAGTTACTCTTTGTAGGTGTATGACATTTATGAATATTCTTAAGGACATTTTAAACAATCAGATAAAATTTACAGCCTCTGTTTATTATTTAAATTAAGATTTTACTTCTTCAAATATAATCTTGTCACTTAGGCCATATAACACAAAAATATTTTTATGTTTCTACATTAATAATCACTCTTTGTCAAGGAATTAAATTATATTCATTAATGAATATTCATTCATTCTAATACCTGTTCCATATTACATTTCACTATTAACAAAACTTACAATTAATATATTTTAAGCAACTTCATCTGCACTCGCTGCATTGAAACTAACAGGGTTCATGTTGGTGAAGGAATTACTGAAATTGGAAGGAAAGTTATGCACGAATGACTGAAAGTGGGGGTAGGGGGAGAAACCCAGATGAAAGCAGTAATTGAAATTAACTGGAAAATATTGAAGTAAGAAATTCTTTCTCCTGGGATGGGTAAAAACTTATTGCCATGTGAGAGATTACACAGAAAGTCAAACTGCAGTTTCTTTTTCACAAGTCATTTGAGTTCAATACACTAATCAGAGGCATTTTATGACAGTGTTACTGGAGAGAAAGATATTTAGTATGCTTGAGCATGCTAGTACTGTAGGTGACTCGCTGATTTCAAGCTGACTGGTTAATGGTAAATAAAACATTTTCTCCTTGGCATTTTTGAATGTGTGCTTGGAATCTAAACACCTTTCTACTATATGCAATCAGCAGAGATCACGGATACCTTAGAAATTTGTAGTTTAGGATAGCTTTATGCCTAGGTTCAAACTGAAAGGCTGAATAAATCATGATTAAATTTGTGCTACTATGCAGAAGGATTTTAAAATGACAAAAATACAGAAATTATCATATATTTTTAAAAATATATAAACTAGTTCTATTTACTTATAAGACGTTAAAATTCACGTTTTCCTTTTCTTTTCACAACCATGACTGCTGGAAACTTTGTTTTAAAGTGAGAGCTGAGATTCTCGTAGTCACATGACTTTAGGGCTTTATTAAAAGTACCCCTATCAAAAGTGTTGGCAGTATTGACTCTGAATTATGGAATTAAGAAATTTGTAAGAGTCAGGATTTGGCAACAATCCAAGACCTCCAATGAGAGGTTATATGTCATGTATTCATAGAACCATAGAATCATAGACCTTAAAGATCACTGAGTCCAACTGAAAACTTAACACTGCCAAGTCCACCGCTAAACCATGTCCCTAAATACTTCATCTACACGTCTTTTACATACTTCCAGGGATGGGGACTCAACCACTTCCCTAGGCAGCCTGTTCCAATGCTTGACAACCACCCTCT